TCTTTCTTGATTCTTCCTAGCACCTAGCATAGAGCTTTGCACACAGCAGCCACTCATTGATCGAATTGGTTGAATTAAAAATGCTGTCTTTTTCTCCATTTCTATCTCTGTATCTTAGCTGTTTCTGTTTTTAGCACAAAGACAAGGCACAGTTGACTACGTCTTGTTTTTTCCATATTCTTATTTAGATGGAAGCCTGGATCTTTGTGGCTTTGTGCTTGTATGGTGGAGTTCTCAGGGATTTTTGCAATTTGAGTGGCTGTGTTGGCTTTGCCGCTGAATCTCCTCACTCTGCAGTTACCTGATAATCCAGCTCCCTGACTTCTGTTGTCTTAATGTTGGTGCATTGATTGGCACAGCAAGGACTGTTAGATGTTTTCACCCCCACCTATGGTCTTTTTGTCTAGTGGATTCCTTGTTTTTTTGCCATCTAGTAAGGTTTTGAATGGGAGAATTGGATTATGGCTGTGTACCACATTCTGGGGGTGCAAAGAGTAAATATGCTACTTCCTTTATAGAGCTCATATTCAGTACAGGCACTGTATTTCTTAGATGCTTTCTGCCTTTCCCCAGTTCTTTTGTTGTCTCGCAGTGGTCCCCATCTCCCTGTCTAGTGCCCTGACTTTGATCCTGAGTCAGGCTCAGTGTAGAAGTAAAGTTTATGTAAAAAGGCAGAATGTCTTAGTGGCTTTTCCATCTTTTGGGATCAAGTTCAAAGGTATTGTACAGTTTGGGAGAATATATTTTTAAACGACTTATCCGACAAGGGGTTAACATCCAAAATATATAAAGTACTTACACGCCTCAACACCCAAAAAACAAATAACTTGATTACAAAATGGGTGGAGGATCTGAACAGACACTTCTCCAAAGAAGAAATTCAGATGGCACAAGAAATTCAACAGGCACATAAAAAGATGCTCCATATTGCTAATTATCAGGGAAATGCAAATTAAAACCACAATGAGATATCACCTCACACCAGTTAGGATGGCCAACATTGAAAAGACAAGGAACAACAAATGCTGGCAAGGATGTGGAGAAAGGGGAGCCCTCCTACACTGCTGGTGGGAATGTAAATTAGTTCAACCATTGTGGAAAGCAGTATATAGGTTCCTCAAAAAACTGTAGTAGAAATAACATTTAACCCAGAAATTGCACTCCTAGGAAATTACCCAAAGAAAACAAGATCCCAGATTAAAAAAGACATGCACCCCTATGTTTATTGTAGCACTGTTTACAATAACCAAGATGTGGGAGCAACCTAAGTGTTTTTCAGTAGATGATGTGGTAATATATACAATGGAATATTATTCGGCCATAAGAAGAAAACAAATCCTATCATTTGCAACAACATGGATGGAGCTAGAGGGTATTAATGAAATAATCCAGGTGGAGAAAGACAAGTACCAAATGATTTCCCTCATTTGTGGAGTATAACAATGAAGCAAAACTGAAGGTACAAAACAGCAGCAGACTCTCAGACTCCAAGAAGGGACTAGTGGTTACCACAGGGGAGGGGTGGGGTAGGCTATGTGGGGGGGGAGGGAGGGAGAAGGGGTTCAAGGGGTATTATGATTGGCACACGTGTGTGTGTGTCACAGGGAAGACAGTGTAGTACAGAGAAGACAAGTAGTGACTCTGTGGCATCTTACTACGCTGATGGACAGTGACTACAATGCCATGTGTGGGGGGAATCGATAATAATGGGTGAATACAGTAACCAAAATGTTTTTCATGTGAAGTCTTCATAAGAGTGATATCAATGACACCATAATTAAAAAAAAAAATAGAAGATTGAAAAAAAAAAGGTCATATGCTGGGGGTCCTCAAGGGTATGTTGAGTTTCACTGATTTGCTAGGAGAATTCGCAAGACTCAACATGTAACTATATTCACAGCTAAGATTACAGTGAAGGGATGCAAAATGAAAACAGTGGGAAAAGTTACATGGATGATGTCTGGGGGAAATTAGGTGTAAGCTTCCAAGAGTCCCCTTTTAGTGGGGAAAGACCAGATGCACTTAATTTTTTCAGCAACAAGTTGTGAGAACACATGTGAAACATGGGGATGTTTTGCCTGAGGCTAGGAATCTACGATTTCTTTTGTGGTCAGTCACGACACCCTATTTTAGTACCCCATTTCTAGCATTTTTCAAAATTTCAAAGTCCCTAGTGGAAAATAGGTATTCAACATAAACTGCATTGTACAAACAGTTTAGGCACAGAGAGCCACTGTTAACATTTAGGGAGATGCCAGGGAAGGGCCGGCCTTGCCATCAGGCCCTGTGAGCCTCCAGCCTCGGTGGGAACTGTTTTCTGCACAGTCACTGCTCCAGCTGCTGTACCACGGTATATCTGATGGCTGTGTGAATAAATAGACCCTGGCTGTATTTTGCTTTATTTGTAAATTGATTACTGGTAAAACGTAAATTTTGTTGTTTTGGAAAAGCAATAATAGGCCTAGTGTTCAAAATAAAATGTGTAGAAAGGGTGTATGGGAAACTTCAGCACCCTATGCTACCTAGTTAAATAGTTTTTTCTTTCCACAAGTTACCAGTTACGCCACTTAGTTATAGAACTGTACAGAGGTTTTATGTACTCAAGCAAACATGTATAGGTCCTTCTTAACATTCATTATGCTTTTAATGAATTTTGGACAGTTTATGTTACATTTGTTCCGTAGCAGTAAAGAAGTATTTCATTCCTTTTAGCAGCTGCAGAGTATTTCAGTTCATGCATGTGCTGTATTCTGTTTAACCAGTCTCTTTTTGTTGGGCTTCCAGGGTGTTTTTTTTTTTAATTGTAAAGAATGCCAAAATAAGTACATTTAAACAAATAATTTTGCTGTTATAAGTTTGTAGGATTATAGACTGAATTCTTGGAAATGCAGTGCTAGAACAAGATATATATATTTGTAATTTTCAGTTATTGTTTAATTGCCCTTTAAAGAATTTGTACTAATTTATACTTATACTGATAATGTATTGGAGGGTTTGTTTGACCACAGCCTCACCAACGTAGCTTATTTCGTCTGTTGGCTAATTCTAATAGGTGAGTAATGGTATCAAAGTGTTATGTGATTTTAATATTTTATTCTTTAGGGGAAGTTAAACATTTTAAAATTTAAGAGCCATTTTGAATTGCCCTTTCTGTGAAATGTACCTATCTGTTGCTCATTTTAAGTTTATGGTTTTCGTGTTGATTTGCAGTTCTGCATAGGTTAGCCGTTTGCCTTGTTATGCTGTGAGTTGCAAATTTTTTTCCCATTTGGGCATTAGAATTTTTTTATGAGTCAAATATGTTAATATCCTTGCCCTGCTTTTTACTTCTGGGGTTTGTTTTATATTTCGAAAATGCTTTCCCACTCTGTAAATATGTCCTTTCATTCAGGTACTGATGACTTTTTAGAATATATTTAAATCCTGTATTTGAAACGTCTTGGTGTGAGGTGTGCAGTAGGGATACGGCATTCTTTTTTCTGGATGGCTATCCATCCATTTGTCCTCTCACTGTGCTCATTATTCTAACCTCCCCTACTGATTGGAGATACTTCCTTGATCATATACAGAATAAGTCACGGTAGGTATTTGAGGGCGTTTCTGGATTTACTGTTTTTTTTTTGGCAGGTGAATTTTAAATGAGTAAGCTCCATAATAGAGTAAACCATTAACTTTTTTCGTAGGTTCCTTGTTTTTACACTGATGCAGAAAGACGTTCAGTGATGGATGCAACACAGATTGCTGGTCTCAATTGCCTGCGATTAATGAATGAAACTACTGCAGGTAAGAGAGACTTAATTACAATTTTTGACCTGTTTAGTCTTCAAGGTTGTGAAGTCTTAAAACCTTAGGGTTTTTTGTTATTTTGCTTGGAGCACTTACCACCCATGTATCATAGTATTTTTGGATAGTTTGTCACATAAGAATTCATTGTACCAGTACTTTTTCTGTATCTTCTTGACACTTTCTTTGGTATTTACTCAATGCTTGTTTGGAAGGGAAGACATTTACCGTGTATTTGGAGCAATGTTTTGGTTTAAGGATTGACCTTATTTCTCCACCTTGTGGACTGGTCGGATCAGAGGAATGGGTGTAAAGCAAAATCCCAGGGATAGGATATGTGAGAATGTTGAGATTGGCACAAGGGCAGAAGAAATCTGGAAAAAGTGAAGGAAGTGGTTTGGGGAAAATTGTTAAAGTTATTGGAACTGGAAATTGGAAGTGTTAAGGAAGTCTAAGTGGATGTCAGCATTTAAATCTGAAGTTAATGTTTTTCATGAATAAATTATGCAAAGCTTATAGAGAACCCAATTCTTTCTGAAATAGCATATGATGCAGTCCCATTCACTAGATATATGATCTGTTTTTTCCCTACTTAAGTGAATTTTTGTTGAATTTTATTTTTTTCTTACATAGTTGCTCTTGCATATGGAATCTATAAGCAAGATCTTCCTGCCTTAGAAGAGAAACCAAGAAATGTGGTTTTCATAGACATGGGGCATTCTTCTTACCAAGTTTCTGTGTGTGCATTTAATAGAGGAAAACTTAAAGTAAGTGAATTCTTTCTAAAAGACTGTATTGCAAGTGTATGATAATTAGGAATTTATGAGAGAGAATTTAAATAATTGGTTAAAGAATTTCATTTCACTAATAGAGACTTGCTATGAGCCATCTGAACTAGAAACTAGGTATTTAGGGGTGGGGTGGAGGTTGTAAGTCCCAAATAATTTATCAAGAGTTGGCATGGTGTGAAGCAAAGACCATAGACCTTGAGGAAAAGCTCTTAGGATTCCTGAGCTTCCTTTTTCTTATGTATAATGTAAAAAAAAATAATTAACTTGTTTATTAGGAGGATTCTTGGACATTGAGTCTCTTTTGTGTATTTTACACTGAGGATTGAGAGTTAGGATAAAGATACTGTCTTTTTGCTCATAAGGTTTTGATTGTTCTGGAAAAGGGTTGGAGGGATTAGAATTTGGATGGCCCAAAGAAACCAGATTAGAAGTAATATTCTCGATTTCTGGGAAGCTTAGAGCTCTGGAGAAAGCAGTTTTGTGCACAGAGAAGTCGAGCAGTTTCAGAGACCAGGAGCCAAGTGATGATCATAGTTGCAGTTGAATTTGCAGATATGAGCTAGTTCCACAGTGGGATATAAAATCAGTTCTCTAGCTAGGTGATTTCGTTTAGAACTAAGAACCAAGGATTTTTTTGAATTTTTGCTTTAACTATCTGAATTGTGTATCAAGGTTCTCGGTACCAAGGTCTAAATTGGCTTTCTCACTCTAGTTTGGGGATTGGTAGGAGGGACTCTGTATCCCCAGATTAAATGTCTGTTAGATTTGGAGGGCATTTTGAGACTATTTGTTAAAGTTCTGTTTCTTTGAAAACTAGACTTTCTTCTCTTTTGTATTTTGATTTGTTTCTAGGTTTCACCCAAACTAGAGTGAGAAAGCCAATTTAGACCTTGGTACCGAGAACCTTGATACACAATTCAGATAGTTAAAGCAAAAATTCAAAAAAATCCTTGGTTCTTAGTTCTAAACGAAATCACCTAGCTAGAGAACTGATTTTATATCCCACTGTGGAACTAGCTCATATCTGCAAATTCAACTGCAACTATGATCATCACTTGGCTCCTGGTCTCTGAAACTGCTCGACTTCTCTGTGCACAAAACTGCTTTCTCCAGAGCTCTAAGCTTCCCCCAAATCTTGGGGATGGTATGCAAATAAGAGGTTCAAGATTTTCACAGATATAAAAATGATGGACCATGTGTAATGGTTCATGTTTAATCACTGTTCTCTACTTTTGCCTTTTTATAAACAGAAGGTACTGGCCATAATTAAGTCCAGGCTTTGGGTCAAAGAGATGTGCATTAGTGATCATATCTTTCTTTTCTAAGTTACCCTTCACTGTCAGCTGTCACCTTAGTTTTCCAATTATAATTAAACTCTTAATTATAAAAACCCTTTATGTAAAAACATGTCCAAGCTTGGAAAACATTCCCATATAAAGAAAAAATGTTCATGGTTTTACTATTGGTAAAATTTTGGTATTTCATTTTAGTCTTTTAAGGAAATAAAATTGGAATTACACTGTCTTCAGGTCTGTGTCCTGTTTTTCTTTTTCTTCAGTTAACGTATTAAGAATATTTCCCCATGACATTTAACATTCTTTGAAGGCATTGTTTCTATTGATTTTCTTTCTTTATAAAGATGTTATCACTTAGTTGGCATATTTTCTATTGAATCTGATTAGATTTAGATTGTCTCTAATCTGCTAGAGATTTGTAGAGTCGATAACCCAAGTTAATAAGACTTCTTTACTAAGTAGAAACAAATGGCTGTGAGTTAAATAAAGTGTTAACATCTTTACTGGGAGTACGCTGCATACAGCTGGGCCTTTGGTATTACTCAGTTTTGTGGTAGTGATAAGACAGAACTGTAATGGCATGTTGGCATATTTGGCCTTGGAAATGTAATTGCATTTTAGAGTCAGGTTGCTGTAGTGGAGAGGGCATGGGTTTTAGAATTGAAAAGATTAGGGTTTGAATTTTGCTGCTCTCGCTTAGTAGCTTTGTGACCTGGAGATTATCTGATCTGTCTAGGCCGTAGCATCATCTGTAAATTGGGGCTTACAGTGTCTCTTTTCACAGTGGTTGTGACAGTCATTAAAAAGCGTACACACCTTCCTTACTTGAGCCTGAGAGTACTCCTCCCTCCCCACCACTGCAGCTTACCATTTTAATATATATGATAAAACTCTAAATGGAATGGTTTTGAATTAATTGTCTTTTTTCTAAGGTTTTGGCCACTGCATTTGACACAACACTGGGAGGCAGAAAATTTGATGAGGTGTTAGTAAATCACTTCTGTGAAGAGTTTGGGAAGAAATACAAGCTAGACATAAAGTCAAAAATCCGTGCATTATTACGACTGTCTCAAGAATGTGAGAAACTCAAGAAGTTGATGAGTGCAAATGCTTCAGACCTTCCTTTGAGCATCGAATGTTTTATGAATGATGTCGATGTATCCGGAATTATGAATAGGTAACCATATTTTGATGTTAAACTGAACTATGATTTCTCCACTTATATTAGCTAATTGTTGAAATCATCATGCTTGTTACATGGTAACTTCATTCTGTAGGTATAAATCAGGGCATTCAGGGTCCTGCCTTCTATGCGAAGGTTGGGCTTAGTTATTCTAATGCAGACTAATGTTTTTGTTCTCATTAATTGAATATTCTAGGAAGTTGGTAGTTCTTTATATGTGCAGGTATTATATATGAGTTGTTTTCATAAAATAAGGATAAAGTACTTTAATGCAGAATTATATTGAATCTGATCTAGTCATTGATTCAGAGATTAGTGCTTTTGAGTAGTTCAGGATCACTTAGGGACAATAGCTGGTTTTGTAGAGAGCTATAAGAATTCTGGGTAATTGACATTTCAGGGCTATTCTCAGAAACATCCAGATGTGTTATCTGGTTGGGTTGCTTGGATGATAAGAGTGTGATGTTCTTTAGATGTGAACTCTGCTAGTACAATTTTAGACCAGACTGATGGCTTGTTTGGGGTGGTGGTCTCAAAAATTGAGATGGAGTTGGAATTACTTTAACTGTGCTGAAATTAGATTATTGCAGCTAATAATCAGTTTGTACTCACTTCTCTCCTTTCCTTGAAAGGATGATCTTCATTTTTATTAAGTGGCAGCAGCTTTGTGTGTCTGTGTGTGTGTGTGTTACTGGGGCTGGGAGGTTGGGGTATAGCAGAGTTTCAGAAATTGTCAGTGGAATGAATGTTATGTGAGTGTAAGAGCCAAATAGATCCTTGTAGGTAGTTTATAATTCTTCAAATCTGAAAATAGTTAATTAGCCTATGTACTGTTTCTTTTTTTAAAGCAGTGTACTGTGTCTGTATTGTCAGAGCACATAACTTTTTTGGGGGGAGGTAAAATTCACACACCATTTCAAAGTGAACAACTAACTAAGTAGCATTTAGTGTATTCACAGTGTTGTGCAATGACTACTGCTCTCCAATGACAAAACATTTGATCACCCCAGAGTGAAACCACCTACCCATTAAGCAGTTTCCTCCCATTACCACTTGCCTCTCACACCTGGCAACCACCAGTCTACTTGGTATCTCTATGGATTTACTTATTTCTGGATATTTCATATAAATGGAGAATGAATCATACACCATGTGTATGACTTCTTTCACTTAATGTTTTTTTAGGTTCATCTGCATTGCAGCATGTTTTAATAGTACTTCATTGCTTTTGATGCCAAATAATACTCCATTTGTATTGATATATATATATCACATTTTATTTATCCATTCATCAATTGATGGATATTTGGGTTATTTACACTCTTTAGCTATTGTGAATGGTGTGTCTGAAGAATTTTCATGAAAAGCATTTAAATATCTTATTTTCAGTTCTTCTGGGTATATACCTAAGAGAATTGCTGGGTTACATGGTAATTCTACGTTTAGCTTTTTGAGGAATCCCAAACTACCTTCCTCAGGAGTTACACCATCTTACTTTCTCATCAGCAGTGTTACAAGGGTTCTGATTTCTCCACATCCTTGCTAACGCTTGTTATTTTCATGTTTTTCAGTGATTGCATCCTAGTGAATATAAAGTGATAGCTTTATATTAATGTCTGTTCATCATTTTGTTTGTTGAAGGGCATTCTCCTACATATTCCTAAGGAATGGCATGTGTGAATAGTGTTCCTTAAGTTCCTGCATGTTAGTGACACTTTCCCATGTTCATACTTAAAAAGTCACTTTAGCTGGACAGAACATCCTTAGCTCCTATTTTTCCCCTTGGATTTTCTAAATGGAGCAATACTCTATTTTCTCTTGGCATATAGCATTGCTGTCAAATTGTGACAGTGCATTTTTCAGTTATTTACTTGTTCTTTTTCCAGATGCCCAATTTTTTTTTTCTTTGAAAGTCTAGGAGTTTTAGTAGAGTATGTTTTGGAGTTGGTTTTGGACCATTTTTTCCCAGATATGCAGTGTGTTTTTTCAGTATAGTTTCACAATTTTTAAAATTTCAAGTAGGTTTTCTTGAATTACATTGTTCAGTTATTTGTTTTATTCTTGTTCTTTGCTCGTTGTCTTTGGAAACTCCTCGATTAGTTTGTTGGATCTCTTGCCTGTGTTTTTCCTGTGTTTGCTATTTTCTCTCCATTCATTCCTTTGTGCCATTCTCTGTTGGGCTACTTGACTCTGGTATCTTTTATAGGTTAGTTTTCCTTTCTGACATTTGTTCCTTAATTTCTCAATCTTTTCTGAGTTTTTCTAATTTTGATTTGTATTCATTTTCATCTTTTGCTATTGTTTTTTCATTGGTACATAGTTTATAAAGTGTACAGTTCATTAGTATATTCACAGGGTTGTACAGCAGTGACCACTATCTAAACTGAGAATGGTTTTATCACCCCGGAAAGAAACCCTGTGTTCCTTAGGCATCTCCATTACCCGCGGACTCCCTGCACCCTAGCAAGTTACCAGTCTGCTGTCTCTGTGGCTTTGCCTGTTCTTCTAAACCATTTTCATGTTAAGTAAGTATTCCTGAACGTGTTAGAAGGGAAGTGTCATTTAAGAGTTTTTCTAATTTCACTGCTCCAGAGTGCTCTCTTTTGTTTTTATGAAATACTTTTTTAAAATGTGGCTTAACTTCTTGGTTTGTTTCCCTCCATCACATCTTCCTTTGTCTCTCCTGTTCTGCTCAGTTTGGATTTTCTTAACATCAGTTTTTCCTCACAGTGGCCCTTCTTGAAGGGGAGTTTAAGTTGGTTACTGTAGACAGTTTTCTTGATTCTTCTTACCACGGCCCTTCAGTACACCGTCTTGAAGACCTTTCAAGCTCTTCTTCTGGAGTGTGGCAGTCCGTCCTGATTTCAGCTGCTGTTTAGGAAGGGGCCTGCTTAGTTTGGTTATTCTGGAATTTTCAGATCCATTATGTGCCCTCTTGCTTTTTTCTGCATCCTTTTGCACAGATGCTCATACTGTACAGAAATTGTTCCTGTTGGTTTGTCTCTTCCCATTTGTATTTGTGGTGGATATTGTTTTTATTGTGGGTCCTGGGTTTTGGTTTCTCTGTCCTAGTTGCTCTGTATATTTATTTATTTAGCATGATATATTTTTTATTAAGGTATCATTGATATACAAACTTATGAAGGCTTCACATGAGCAACATTGTGGTTACTACAGTCACTCATATTATCAAGTCCCCCCCCACCCCATTGCAGTCACTGTCATCAGCGTAGTAAGATGCTGTAGAGTCACTACTTGTCTTCTCTGTGCTACACTGCCTTCCCCGTGACTCCCCTAACATGTGTGCTAATCATAATGCCCCTTAATCCCTGTCTACCTCCCTTGCTCACCTTTCCCCCCAACTCACCCTGCCACCTCCTTCCCATTGGTAATCGCTACTCCCTTTTTGGAGTCTGTGAGTCTGCTGCTGTTTTCTTCCTTCAGTTTTGCTTTGCTGTTATACTCCAGAAATGAGTGAAATCATTTGGTACTTATCTTTCTCCACCTGGCTTTTTTCACTGAGCAAAATACCCATGTTGTTGCAAATGGTAGGATTTGTTTTCTTATGGCTGAATAATATTCCATTTTGGTATATGTACCACATCTTCCTTATCTACACATCTACTGATGGACACTTAGGTTGCTTCTATATCTTGGCTATTGTAAGTAGTGCTGTGATAACTATAAGGGTGCATATGTCTTTTTGAATCTGGGATCTTGTTTTGTTTGGGTAATTTCCTAGGAGTGGAATTTCTGGGTCAAATGGTATTTCTATTTTTAGTTTTTTGAAGACCCTCCATATTGTTTTCAACAATGGTGGAACTAATTTATGTTCCCAACAACAGTGTTAGGAGGGTTCCCCTTTCTTCACATCCTCACCAGCATTTGTTGCTTCTTGTATTTTGGGTGTTGACCAGCCTAACTGGTGTGAGGTAATACCTCATTGTGGTTTTAATTTGCATTTTCTTGATTATTAGCTATGTGGAGCATCTTTTTATGTGCCTGTCGGCCATCTGAATTTCTTCTTTGGAGAAGTGTCTGCTGATATCCTCCGCCCATTTTTTAAGAGGGTTATTTGCTCTTTGGGTGTTGAGGCGTGTGAGTTCTTTATATATTTTGGATGTTAACCCCTTCTTGGATATGTCATTTACAAATATATTCTCCCATACTATAGGATGCCTTTTTGCTCTGCTGATGGTGTCTTTTGCTGTACAGAGCTTTTTAGCATGATGTAGTCCCGTTTGTTCATTTTTGCTTTTGTTTCCCTTGCCTGAGGAGATGTGTTCAGGAAAAAGTTGCTCATGTTTATATTCAGGAGATTTTTGCCTATGTTTTCTTCCAAGAGTTTTATTGTTTAATGACTTACATTCAGGTCTTTGATCCATTTCGAGTTTACTTTTGTGTGTGGGATTACATACTAATCCAGTTTCATTCTCTTGAATGTAGCTGTCCAGTTTTGCCAATACCAGTTGTTGAAGAGGCTTTTCCCCATTGTATATCCATGGCTCTTTTATCATACATTAATTGACCATATATGTGTGGGTTTATACCCGGGCTCTCTATAGTCTGTTCCATTGGTGTGTGGGTCTGTTCTTGTGCCAGTACCAAATTGTCTTGATTACTGTGGTTCTGTAGTAGAGCTTGAAGTCCGGAAGCGTAATCCCCCCAGCTTTATTCTTCCTTCTCAATATTGTTTTGGCTATTCGGGGTCTTTTGTGGTTCCATATGAATTGTAGAACTATTTGCTCTAGTTCGTTGAAGAATGCTGTTTGTGTTTTGATAGGGAATGCTTTGAACCTTTAGTTCGCTTTAGGCAGGATTTCCATTTTGACAATATCAATTCTTTTTATCCATGAGCATAGTAGTCTGTATTTCCATTTAATGGAATCTTTAATTTCTCTCATGAGTGTCTTGTAGTTTTCAGGGTATAGGTCTTTCACTCCCTTTGTTAGGTTTATCCCTAGGTATTTTATTCTCTTTGATGCAATTGTGAA